ACAAACCCTCTCTATTTCTACATTCTGAGTTTCCTTAATTATTAACATCTTGCATTAACGCAATACACTGGTTACAACTCATGAACCAATATTTATATTGGTTCATTATTATTAACTTAAAGGCCATAGTTTACATTAGCATTCAGTCTTTGTGTTCTATGGGTTTTGACAAATGCATAATGTCTTGTGTATATCCCATTCGAGCATCACACAGAATAGTCTCACCATGAAAAAAATGCCCTGTGCTCCAAATATTCATCCCTGTTCCTCTGCCCAGAATCCCTGGTGACCATTGATCTTTTTATTGATTCCATAATTTTGCATTTTCCAGAAAGCCATATAGTTGGTATTATATCATATTGTAGTCTTCTCAGATTGATTTCTTGTTTTTTGAGACGGAGTCTTGCTCTGTAACCCAGGCTGGAGTGTGGTGGCATGATCTCAGCTCACCACAACCTCTGCCTCCCAGGTTCAACCCATTCTCCTGCCTCAGCCTCCTGAGCCTGGGACTACAGGCCCACACCACCATGCCCAGCTAATTTTTTTTTTTTTTTTTTTTTTTTTTTTTTGCATTTTTAGTAGAGATGGGGTTTCACCATGTTGTCCAGGCTGGTCTCAAACTCCTGACCTCAAGTGATCTGCCTGCCTTGGCCTCCCAAAGTGCTGGGATTACAGGTGTGAGCCACTGCGCCCTGCCAGGCTGACTTCCTTTACTTAGCAATACGTATTAAAAGTTCCCCCATGTCTCTTCATGGCTGGAGAGTTCATTTTTAAAAATCATTGAATAATATAGCATTGTCTGCGTGCACCATAGTTTGTTTATCCATTTTCATGTACTGATAGACATCTTGGTTGCTTCCCAAGTTTTGGCAATTATAAATAAAGCTACTAACAAAATCCATGTGCAGGTTTTTGTGTAGACATAAATTTCAACTCATTTGGGTGAATACCAAAGAGCATGATTGCTGGATTGTATGCTTAGAATATGTTTGATTTTGTGAAAAACCACCAAACTGTCTTCCAAAAATGGCTGTATCACTTTGTATTCCCACCAGCAATGAGTGAGAGTTCCCACTGCTCCACATCCTTGCCAGCATCTGATGTTGTCAGTGTTCTGGAATTTTGGCCATTCTCATAGGTGTGTAGTGGTATCTCATTGTTGTTTTTATTTGTATTTCCCTGAAGACATAAAAAGTGAATCATATTTTTTATGCTTACTTGATACCTGTATGTCCTTTTTGATTAGGTATCTGTTCATATTTTTTGCTCATATTTGAATTGGGTTCTTTGTTTACTTATTATTGAATTTTAAAAGTTCTTTGTATATTTTGGATACTGATCCTTTATCAGATATGTGTTTTGCAAATATTTTCTCCTAGCGTGTGGCTTGTCTTTTCATTCTCTTGAGTGTCTTTCACAGAGCAGAAGTTTTTAGTTTAAACAAAGTCCAACTTAACAAGCTTTTATCTCACAGATTATACTTTGAATGTCGTATCTAGTAAGTCATAATTATACCCAAGGCCACCTAGGTTTTCTCCTATGTTATCTTCTAGAAGTTTTACAGTTTTGCATTTTACATTTAGACCTATGGTCCATTTGGAATTAGTTTCTGTGAAAGGTATGATGTCTGTATCTAGATTCATTTTTGTGCATGTGGATGTCCAATTGTTCCAGCATGAAATCTGAATTTTATGTGAAGTCTCCTGATTTTAAAGGTTTGTTCAAGTCTTTTTTTTGGTAGTAGTGGTACCGGAGGAATTACAGCTCCCCTCTCCCCTAATATACATGTCTGCAGAATGCATTTATCCATTCTGGATAATCTCTGCCTCCTTCATCTCTCTTACCTGGAATGCTCTTCATCCATCCACCTAAGTTTTTCCTAATGCCCACCTCACACTCCATCTACCAGACCTTTCCCACTACTTCGACCTGGTGTGTGCACTCAGCAGATACTCAGGTAATAGTGGTTGAAATCTAAACACACTATGACTTGTAAGTCCCTATTAGCACTGCCATATGCCACTGCCTTTCTTCCTTAGCTAGACTGTGAACTCTTGGGGAAACAGGAACGCTCTTTTTCTGGTTTACCCCAGGTAGCTTGGCATGCATGGGTCTGGGCATAAAATAGGTTCAGCCACAGTTGCTAACAATTTCAGACTAGCTGGACTTTGGTCCTGACTTACCAATTGTCCTTTGTTCTTCAGGAGAGATGGCTACTTCAGGAGTCAAGATGAGGACCTGCCAAAGATTTAAACCCAGCAGCCTTGCCCTGGCACAGGTAGAATGATGGCATCTCTAATTTTGATGTCTGATTTACTATTATATTCATGTAAATAAGAGCGCCCTGATATCCTTGGAGAATTAGGGAAGATTAATAATACTACAAAATGTATCATCAGTGGTACCACTGTATTATGAGTTATAAACATGTTTCTTTCGCTATGATTTCTATCTGGTCATAATGATATCCCAGTCATTATGAAAAATAGTGAAATAAAGGAGTGAAATAAAAAGAACAGATAGCTTCATGGTGGCTGGTTCCGTACCTCATTCCTATTGAATAGTCAAGCTAATGGTAATCCTCCCAGCCCACCTATGTTCCTCATTTTCATCTGCATCATTAAGTGTTCCCACTGGAGGAGCTCTGGACACTTCCAACCGAACAATGATGGCGGGAACAAAAGGGTCCACACCTGGGGCTGAGACCCAAGTGGTCTCGTGTGGTTGTTACCATGGCACATCTGTGTGCCGACAGATTTCTTGGAATCAGTTTGCTCAGGGAAAGTACTGTGGGTCCATTTGTTAGGACTGCCTAACAGCCATGCATGATCCATACCAGCAAATCTCAGGCAGAAAATATCAGGGAGACAGGAACCCAGGAAAATCACCTCACTGCCTTGGGTTTGAGAAGTGGCTGTGAGCCTGCCTGCAGAGCTTATGGGGGACTTTGGCATGGCTGCCACTCAGGGCCATGGCAGACGCTGGTGTCAGTGCTGGTGCGGGTACTGCTTCTACCTCGGGGAACAACCTTCCCTGACCTCAAGACTCAAAGGTATCAATCAGCGACTCACTCGGCTTGGAAGGACAGTGGTCTTGTTGGAGGCACACCCACACTTCCTTTTCTAATCCTCCTCCAGAGACAAACAAGTAGAACCATTCCTGTTATCACCCTCCCTTCCCCAGAAAAGCCCCCCAGATCTGTACCAGGCAGGGAACAGTCCCTGGGTGGTGTGAAATAGGCAGAGCGATTCCTAGGATGTTATGGGAAAAAAAAAAAATCGTATCTAGACACCTAAAAAATAAAAAATCCCAAGCCTTCTCCTCAGGACCTGTTTAAAAGACACACTCCCCTTTTCCACTTAGCTGCTTAAGCAACCTCTTTGTACACACTGTACTCAGCAGTGACTCAGGGGCTCACAGCTACCAGCCACTGAAAAAAAAAAAAAATTACAGACCACTCATTGGTAGTGGCTGGCTAAAATCAGGGGATGTTAAGCAACTTGGGCTAGAAATTCAACCTTGCTCATACACAGCAAGAAATAACTTTAGCAACTGCTAGGTACAGAAAATTAAACCAACTGAAGAAAAAAAAGTAAAGAAAATAGAATTTCCCTAAAGTCCAGGAAAGCGGGTATAGGAGAGCCTAAGAAGGCCAAACCTCAAGGCAGGGAGGCTCCCTAGGCAAGCCCAGCCATGGAGAACCAGAAGAGACTCACTGCCCATAAGCCGAACAAATTCAATTATTTTGAGGTCCTGAGGCACTGGTCCCCTTCTTGGTGAAGGAACATGCGATTTACCACTCAACGGGCAAATAATTAAACTTCCTGAACATCAGTATGATTTAAAGCTGCCAACAACTAAAAAGACCTGATATTCTCAGTTTAAGATTTCATCCCACAGTATAGTAACATTTTTATTATGTACCTCTTACGTCCATTTTGGAGTCATCTCTCCTCCCAAGTATTTAATAGCCCTTAGTGTCTTCTAAGGCATCATCAGATTAATTTTGCAGATTTGTAAATATCTCATAGCGATTGAATGACAGGGTGCTGTCATGAAACTATGGCATGCGGAGGAGCAGGAAAAGGTTACTGACATCCTAGCATCTCACCGCCATGCCAGTGTCTCCCCACGTGAAACAACCGCCCTGAAGACAGTCTGTGGCTGAACCTCAATCTATTTTCACTTAGAGAAAGGCAAAATCATCTCTGTTTTTCCTGAGTCTTACATAACTGTAGCCTGAGAGTCCAACTGTTCTGGTCATGGCCTCACATTCTTTCTGCAAAGGCGCTAGTTGACAAGATTTATGGGATGGTCTAAAGAAGCATGCGAAGCAATGTGGGTTGAAACCATGAGGGAGAACTTTCTGATCCTAGCAGAGTAGATCTAGTTTCTGTGGAGGGCTAGACAACCAACCCCCAAACTAATTGTCCTGACTATGGGTGCTCAATGCCCAAAAATAAAGCAAAAAGGGTTCTTCTCTTTAATAGTATCTGTTAAGAAGTCATAGTCATGCTAAGGTTTGAGGATGTGAAGACACAAAGGGCTCCTGGAGGCTCTTCCTTATGGAAGCGGACACGGAGGTGGCACTGAACATTTCCAACATAGTCAGTGGGGAGGGAAACCAAGACAACATGGATGAGTGAAACAAACTCGGCCACAGAGCTGCTACAGCCCCTGGATGTTTGTAAAACTTACAGAAATTGCTTTTCATGCCCAGCAGCCAGCACAGGCAATAGCTATCACCAAAGCCATCTCAGCAGGACGGTAAATCAAAAATCACCAAGGCTAAGAAGCAGTATGTTAAGAATAACGACTCCCTCTGAGATGATGATGCTTGAAAAACCCACAACAAGCCAGCTGAGCTCCCAGTTTAGGGAGGAGGTTTAAATAATGTTCAGGGGACAATGGTCCGAAGTTAGATGGAGCCAGATAGCAAATTCTAGGTGGAATGGCTGACCAAAGTCCTTGTGGGGTAGGCAGCTGGACATCATACTTACAGTGAGTTGGGCCGGGTGGGTTTGACCACAGCCAGGTCTGGGTCACTGGAGTTCATGTTGGGCTGTAAGCTGCTGCTGGAATTAAGGATGCTGTTTGGATTTGATGAGACAGATTCCAAACTGGAGTTGATGATGCTGTTCCTTTGTTCCTCTGGGGGGAAAAAGTCACAAGTCCCATATTACTATTATTGCATAGCGACAGTCTATTGCTACATGCACAAAAATTTATAAAGAATAAGACTGGATCAAGATCTCTGATCCCAGGGAAGCTTAAGAAACAACATAGAAAAGGTTAAGAATTAAAAGTGGGAAAGGAAGAGTCAAGGGGGAACAGGTGACTCGAAATTTTAAAGCAAACCCCCTTCCTCATTGTAACAGGATATATCTCCCCTTTAATATAAGCCAGGATTTTTTCTAAAAGTGGCCCTACCATGGCACCATAAATTGCATCTTCTTTTGACTGGCATATTGCCAGACTAGAGAAAAGCCTTCATAGACCCCCTCACATTCACCCAGATCCCCTTGGCTTCTGTGACACTCACCTTTCATTCTAAAACTCCTGTCTCTAATATTGCTCTAATTCATCAGGCCATGTCCCACCTCCAATTCCATAGAGCCTCACCAGAGAAGATCTACTATTCAGCCACCAATGTCCTTATGACTCCAAGCGTCTAAATTCCTGACCCTTTCCCAGACACATCTTTCAGTGTTGCCTCTAGCTCCATGTACTTGGTGTTTAACTTCAAGTGAATTCTTTGATAAATCACTCTGTACTGGGCTGCAGAATGGTTTGCCTATAAACAACAACAAAATACCTGAGTCCATAGTCCCAGCAGTCATATTCACGCTTGGAGAATATTGCCAAGCCAAGAGACAGAAAAGCTGAGTTCTCTTCAAGCCCTGACTGGCTATGTGACCTCAGGCAATTTCTACTTGATCTTGGATTCCTGGTTAACAATCTATAAAATGGGGAGAACAAGAACTGCCTTTCACAGTTTGTGGAACTGTCATGAGGATCAAGTGGGATCACAGGCAAGAATGTATCTTGTAAACTTCAGAATACCGCTCAAAGAACAGAACTTTATGTTCTTCCCATCTTTAAAAACTTGGAATCATGAATAGAAAACACAATTTTTGGAGATAATTTAGCTAAATGGTACAGGAACCCATCATTGCTGTAGCAAAATATTACAGATGTGGAATGTGATTCTTGTCCTCTATTGATTACAGATATACCATACTAAAATCAACTGATACTTCTGGCAATTAATTCACTTAAACATAATATCTAGGCTAATCCTGGACCTTTTTGCAGTGACTCAGGGGTATGTTACAATATGTCCCTCACAGGATAGTCTAGAGCCACTGGTATGATAATTTAAAGGGCAACATTTGAACTCAGGTCTCTTTAGGCAACTAAGAGGATGATGTGTCATAAAAATACTTTTCCTTTTGCACGAGTCATGTCTGTAAAAATAAAGTATGCTTATGAAGTGATTTTACAGTAAGCCTCACACTAAATACATACACACTCACCCCAATACCCCTGATATCTTAGCAAATCCTTAATGCCCTGGATAAAGCCCCACAGGAGAGAGAAAAACCCTATGAGGCTACCTCCTGACTACTGAACTCAAAGTAGATTTGGAAAAAGTAGATTGAACTGATGTCTGAGATTTAGAACTGTTCATATTTTAAGAGCTTCATTTTTTAACAAAAACGACAACAAAGAGAAGCCAAAAGAGTTACACTGAGCCAAGATGTAGGAGGACTAACAGGGCCTGTAAATGGGAACTTCCTACCAGAAAGAAAAACAACACTAAGATTACATAATAAGGGGATCACTGAGAGATTGGATGTGCCATTTATCAGTATGAATCAGTATCAGTAAGATTTTCCTTTTTACAAAACATGCATACAAAGATGCCCGAAAGACCATGAGGAGCTCGAGACTACCATATAAAGAAAGAGAGTGAGGACGGTTCCCTGGGCTTCAACTGGAGACATTTACTGCTTCACAGGACAGGACAGAGAAACAGTTTTATTAACTTGATTTTGAGAAGCTTAAAGGGCCAAGTTTGCGTGACAAAATTCTCAGGAAACAGAAGAGCGTAACTATCGCTCACATTTCTCCTGTGATTATATTTACTTTTCCAGGAGAGGATTATCATTCTACAAACTAAAAACAGTATCTTGCTAAAAGTATATTCGTCTTTCTAAAATGTTAGCAGGAGATTATTTTTCTCCCTTACAATCCATTAGTAAAGGAGGGTATAAAAATGTATCATAAGGCTTCATAGTTTTACAGCCAAGAGGGCCAAATATGCATCCTAAGAGGCCAACTCTGTATTGGTATCCCTTGCTGGGACAAATGACAAGAAAACCCAGAAACCTGGCACTGCCTGACTATAAAATGACTACAATTTTGTAGAAGAAAGGTCTCATCATCTGTAGACAATACATAATGAGACTGAGAACATCTAGGTAGAGGCTCTAAGCTGAAAGGCTGACAATCTTTACTGAGGGTGAGTAGGCAGGTGAGGATTATTCCAGGGAAAGGGTGGAGAATAAGATCAATGGCCAGTCAAATGTTTTAGTGGTTATAGCAAACTATACCAAGACAAATTTTAAAGCATTTGGAGTCAATTAGGAAATAAGGAGAAAATGAGCCAAGCATGGCGGTTCATGCCTGCAATCCCATCGCCTTCAGAGGCCAGGGTGGGAGGATCACTTGAGGCCAAGATTTTGAAATCAACCTGGTAAACATAGTGAGACCCCCATCTCCACAAAAAAAAAGTTAAAAATTAGCCAGGCCTGGTGGTACACACCTGTGGTCCCACGTACTTGGGAGGCTGAGGCAGGAGAATTGTTTCAGCCTGGGAGTTCAAGGCTGTGGTGAGGTATGATGGTGACACAGCACACCAGCCTAGGTGACAGAGCAAGCTTCTGCCTCCTTTCAATAATAATAATAATAATATTCAGTAATGTCACTCAAAATAGGAGCATTTTTCATCAGCTAGGCAAATGAGTACTGCTCCTGACAGAAGCGCACAAGAACAGGCAGCCTAGAAGACACTTTAAAAAATAAAAATAAAAATTAAGCAAATCCTTCAAATAACATAGCTAGACTTCCCTGAGTCACTGATGATTCAATCCAGCTCTGGTATCCTCATAGAAGGTATAAGAAGGACTGATGGCAATTATGTTGCTGAAGGAAAAAAATTATAGGCTAGTGGGCTTCAAAAGAAAAACAGCTAGTTATGAGTCAAGTCAACAAGATCATAGAGGACCATGACAAAAAGGAAAGAATGCCCACAACTCAGAAGTATGCCTAAACTGGTTGAAGTCAGTGAGAATGCTTGCCCACCTCAAACATGTTTGTCAACAAGAATGTGTCTTTGTATCAGTCACAGAAAATAAGACCCCAGCAACAAGAAAATGATAAAAATAAATCCCCAAATAATGGTAAGCATGCATTGGCAGTGCTTTCACAAACATACGTTCTATAAGGAGTGACAAACTGGATGTGAACTTGGTCCTTAAGGATGCAAACTACCTGAGGGCAGGGACATGCTGTCTGGCCACACGGCATCCATTAATGTGGCTGGTGAGGTCAACATTAGCCATCCATTCCTGGTGCCTCGCCCACGGGTCACTGACACTAAGGCTCCGTGAATGGCTATAAGATAAATATTAAATATAAGGGAATAATACACAGTCAAAAATGTATGCTGCTGGAACAGAAAGAGGTAGTTTTGTGTGACTGAATTTTTCAGGTGCTTTAGACAGGGACCATGAATGTCCTTGAAACCAAAGTACTGATGACAGTGGGCAGAGTTTTTGTTTTTTGTACAAATCAGGAACGGAAAAACATGAGTATGCAACCAAATCACTGCAACTAAAAAAGGAAAGCCGCAGAATAATTTTGGTGATATTGTACTTGTTCTGGGGGTTGCCATGGAAATCTGGGAGCTGAGCGACTTCACTTTCCATATTTACCAAGTGACTCCGACCCACTCTAATGGCAACCCCATCACACACGGGAGGCAGGAGCTCTGTTTATCACAGAACCCAGAGGCGAGGCCAGGAAAGCACTCACAGAGCCAAGCCAAATTCACACGTCTTGGCAGGCCCGAACAGGTCTGGCTCACTGAATACACAGAGCTGGAGGGTAAATATGAAACATTTGCGGGAGGTTTCCCACCATGCATGGGACTCTGTCAGAATACAGGCTAATATCCCAACTTTCCATGGTGCCTAAGAGTAGAGGGCAAAAAGAAGAGGCAAGAGGACTGTTCTTTAACAGCCTCTCAGGATGCCTCATAGAGCCAAAAGGAGGGAACGGACTCTCCACACGATCAAACAAGGAGAAAAGGGAGTTACCAGACAGCGCGAAGTTTTACAAAGACAAGGAGATTTATATTAAAAAATAGGAAGGCAAACACAAAATACCCAGAGGCTTTCCTGTGCTGTGGTCAGGAGAGAGGTGTACTTTCTCCTGCTTGTTAAAGTTTTGCAATGAAGTCTGTAATGCATCATCTTGACAAGATGGGATGATAATAGCATGGCAGCTTAATGAATTTTGCAATAAAAAATGATGAGTGTACAGCAATTTCTGAGTTTATCACCTCTGGGAAATACCCAAGTACATGGGAAGTTTGGAATCAGATTTTCCAAAGCAATTTTTACCCCCTGTAGCTCTTGCTCCTGATAATAGTGACATGCCAAGTCACACTGAAATCTGAGGTGGTCTCATTTCAGGCTGACCCAGCAGCCTCAGTCCCTATGATAAAAATAATCTTAGAAATCAGTCTGTGTAATATGTTTGGGTATATAAAAACAGTTTGGGCAATTTTTTAAAAAAAATCTTAAAAAGGAGTTTGGGTGATGACAGACACTACACATTGAGTTGAAAAGTAGGCTGGGCACGGTGACTCACACCTATAATCCCACCACTTTGGGAGGCTGAGACAGGCGGATCACAAGGTCAGGAGTTCGAGACCAGCCTGGCCAATATGGAGAAACCCCATGTCTACTAAAAGTACAAAAATTAGCCAGGTGTGGTGGCGGGCACCTGTAGTCCCAGCTACTTGGGAGGCTGAAGCAGGAGAATCACTTGAACCCAGGAGGCGAAGGTTGCAGTGAGCCAAG